GGAGAGTCCGCTGCAAACCAAGACCTTCAAAATCTCCCATTTTTGCCCGGCCGGTGGGGCTCAGTGGATTGGCACCCCATGGACTGAGAGGTCCTGGTTCGATTCCCAATCAGGGCACATGCCTGGGTTGCAGGCTCAATTCCCAGTAGTGGGCGTCCAGGAGGCAGCCAATTGGTGTTTCTCTCACATCAATGTTGCTGTCTCTCTCTCCCTTAACCTCTCTGTAAAAAAATAAAAAATAAAAAATAAAACAAAAAAACTCCCAACTTTAAAATTCTACTTATGGAGACTACAGTGAGAAACTTGGTGGCTAATACCATCAATGCCTCTTTCAACTCAGGAAAGGGAAATCAGAAATTTAAAATTGTTTTGAGAAACATTTAAGTTTTTGTTTTGTAGCCTCACCCTAGGATATTTTTCCATTGTTTGTTGTTGTTGTTGGTTTGTTTGTTTTAGATAGAGTGGAAGGGAGAGAAAGAGAGAGAGAGAGAGAGAGATCAATTTGTTGTTCTACTTCCTTATGCATTCTTTGGTTGATTCTTGTATGTGCCCTGACCTGGGGATCGAACCTGCAACCTTGGCGTATCTAGATGATGCTCTAACCAACTGAGCTATCTAACTGTGGTTTAATTCTTTTTTCGTTCGTTTGTTTGTTTCCACATCAGGCACACTTGGTGTGCTACACCACAGATCACCCTGGGAAATACAAAGGGAGAGAAACCTCTTGGGATGATCTCCACTGGGAAGGACCATGGAGCGCATGGGGAAAGGAAAGGCCACCATGTGACTGGGGCGATGAGGGCAGGAAGGAGGAGAAGACAGGGAACGAGATGGCTCTGGGGAGATCAGGAGTAGCCAGGGGAGGAAGGACTGGGAAGACAAGGCTGTAGACCTAGGCTTTATTATAAGTCGTGACAGAAGTCATGGAAAGGTTATATGTAGGAAGACGACATCAGCATATCCGCCTTGCGGAAAGATTCCCTTGTGGATAAAGAAAAGGTTTTCTGAGGGTCAGCACCATCACTTGAGTAGCTTAAACTCCAAAGAGTCCTTGCTGTGTCTCCAATTTGTCAGCAAGGCAAACAACATAAACAGAGGTTCATCATCATTACTGTCATTGTCATTGTCATTGTCGTCCAGGGCCAGCAGAAAACCCAGTTTCCAAACGCACATCTCAGTGGTCAACAGCTGCATTCTAATTCTCTTGTGGGCATCGATGCCGGTGCCAACAGCAGTACAGAGAAAATACTCAGAAAAAGAGCAACGCAAAATTAACTCTGGCAGTTATTTGGCTCAGTTTTCAGAATCCATCTTAAAAACAAAAGGATTTTTCAGTAGCCAAAAAAGATGGAAAATGCTGGCAATGGGAAAAATTGCTCCCAGACCTATAACAATCATGGCTTACTTAGTAGCCGTGCCCCTTGAAGATGTTCTTGCTACGCTTGCCTAGGAACATCTGTGTTTACATCAGGGACTGAGACAGGCACAAAGGACGGACGACAAAACAGGACGGAAGAACCAGAATCCCAGTTTTATGTGGCATTTGATAGCAAAGAGGGAGTCAGACCATGTGACAGGTGGTTACAAAATGGGTAAATACACTGGAATGAAAATAAAAACCTACTTTGATGATCAAGAAAAATTCTTTCATTTTGGCAGTCCATTAATACGCCTGATGTGTCCAGCCCCGCCCCCGGCCCCTTTCCTCACCCTCCAAATTTACTGCTTATTTAGAAAAATACAGAGAAAGAGTGGGATGGGGAGATAAGCAGTAATATGGGGTCCTTCCTCTTTTAGCCTGACCCCGAAATTCCTCAATTAGGAAGGCATTCCAATACAGACAGAGGCCCCACTGCAAAGAATTCTAATGACTTATCATAGAATTTGCTACTTTTTCTTTTTCTGACAATGTTGAACAAGTGGTTCAGCTCTTTAACAAAAGATTAAGTATCTGGCATCTCTAGTGGAAAAATTCAAAGGCAGGTTGTATTTACCAAGCACGTAAGTGAAAAACCCTCACCCCTATTCACACACAGATTGCCATAGAGAACTTTGAAGTATAAAGTCTCGATTTTTACACTGGTACGATAAGAAGGCCTTTCTAAACCTGATGCAAGAAAAAAAGTCGATTTGACTATATAAAATAATTTAAAATTCACATGACGCAAAAGAGTGATAAGCAAACTTGTTTTTTAAAAAAATCAACAACAAAGAGGGAAGGTAAATTCAATTCTGAAGTTACGGGAGAAAATTTAATTAATGTTGGTCATCTTCGTTTTCGACAATATCATTTCTTTGGGAGATAGGCCATCTCTTAACAGTCTTGCAAAATAAATGATAGCACGTCTGGTTAACCTGGGAATGTGACGGAGGAATGGATGTTATTTACTCTCTCAGCTTTATGCGTGTGAACTCTGCAGCGGCACCCGGCCCAAGCTGAGATCCCTACGCTCATTTTAATCCTACGCCGTCGAGGTCTTGTCATTTTTTAACCGTTGTTCAAAAAGGAGCCTCGGGACACTGCGGAGGATGTACTGACCCTGCACTCCCTGTCCTGCCTGCTGCCCCCCTCCAGAGCAGTGAGTTCGGTGCCCAAGGACCCCACGGTGCTTCAGAAATAGCTCTCATCATGAAACCTTCATCATCTGAAGTGGAAATAAATTCAGTAGTTAGATGACAATAAAGCAAAGCAGAAAATAAGACACGAGGTAGAAATGCAACTCCAGAGGAGGTGGAGGGTATTTCTTGGTGCAATGAGGTCCCTGTCTGTGGAAGAGACAGCTTTCATTTGGCTCTAAAAAGAAGAGGGATTTGAACGTTGAGACGGGGAAAAGGCAACAGAGGCAGTGGGCTCTGCAAACGCACGGGACTGGCTGCCACGTGGGCTCCGTTCCCTTGCCGAGGAAAGAAGAGACGAGGCTGAGAAGGGGCTGGCGTGGGCTGCGGGAGGGCTTGAGTACCCAGCTAATAAGAATATCCAGAATCCAACAGGACCTGCGAGCCACTGAAGGGTTATACCAAGTGGGCAGTCGTAATTTAGGGAAGACTAAAGCTGGCTCCAGGCAGCGATGGTCGTTGTGTCACCTCTCTGGATCCCCAGCCCTGTGCTACCTTCACAGATGATGTGGACCTGATGTCTTACACAGTAGCCAGATGGAAAGGGACGTCTAAGTCAGTGCCCGCCTCACTTGAGTTCAACCAGTTCCACTTGACCTGCTCCACGCAGACCCACAAGAAATGTTCATGCATGGAGGAACCGCTTTTTATTGTTTGAGGATTGTCAGAAGAACACAAATCTAGGCAGCTCTAAGAATAATATAAAGATGAAATGATATCTAGGGTCCATTTAAAAAATAAATACATCTCCAATCTCCAATGGCTGAAATGGTGCTTCTAAAAACGTTTTTATTGGAGTTATACAAGGCAACATTGACTCTCCTTCCATTTACTTAGGCAAACAGACTTATGGAAGCTGAAGGTAACATCATAAGTTCCCAGTGCTTGGGTACGTGAGACAAGTAATGGGCTCTGTCCTAGGTATTTCATTGATTACCAATTGGGATCTTTCTCTATTAGGGCTGCATCTGAAGAAATCAATACTTGCACTTTCAGGCTTAAAAATGAATCTCTTTCTCTCTCTCTCTCTCTCTCTCTCTCTCTCTCTCCATAGACATACACACACACATTTATATATCTCTATATATCAACCAGCATATATATATATATATATATATTCACATATATCAACACACACACATATCGACATATATCCAAACACACACATGGCACCTGAATAATTGAATTTCTATACTAAACTCTACATAAAAAATTACATTTCCCCTTCTCCTAAATGTTTCATTCAATCTCATTGAGGAAAAAGCCCAACACACTTTGATAGAGTAATGTTTTAATATATTATTCCTTGATATCAAATGATAATTGCATTGCCTCCTTAGCAGAAATATAGAGAATACATTTTATGTGAAAATGAAAAATATATAAACAATGGATCAGAAGTAAAATAAGTTAACCAGAAGAAATACCAAAGTAAAAAAATATTAAAATTGCATCTTAAGAAAATTCAATAGGTACCGCTTAAGCTGTATCACTGAAACAAAATGTGAACTTGATTTTTTTTTTTTTTAGATCCATTTAAACCATTACTTCACCAAAAATAAAAATATAAAATAAAAGGAAGGGCCACTTTACCATGCTAGCTCTCAAATGAAATCTTAATTGAAGGTGTATCTTCCTGTAGCTCACATAATGATGGTCTGTTTTCAAAAGAAAAGTGATAATACACAACTACTTTTTTTGGGGAAAAAAGTTTTCAGTATTCTTTTTAGTCTTAACAAAATAATATATTTGTTTTAAAATAAGCTGAGAGACAAGAAATGCATTTTGGCGAATCTCGGTGTATTCCTGAGAAACGAGGAGCTCTTTCTTATTCCTCTTCCCATGCTACACTGAGTTATTCTGATAATAGATAGTATCAAAAAAAGCAAAGCTTTTGATATTGCAGAACTGTAACATGAAATGAATTTAATTTGGGAAATTGAACTCAAGATTAAAGGATAATAAGCTTCTTCTTGGAACTTTTCCATCTTCGTCAACTGACCTTTCATGTGGAAACTCACACACGAGATGAGTTAGTCTCACAGAGTGGGGGTTGCTTTAGAAGAGGTGACGTAATATATTAACTGAGACATTACAGATGGACCTGCTATTCTTTTTGTCCAGGCAAATTTTTGTGTGCTTCCCTGAGCTGTGCTCCTCTATGAGAGAATGTTGAATGAAACTCTGAAGTTCTGACTTAACCACATATTATGAAAATTGTCACCAGAAATATCAAGAAGGCAGCAGCGCAGTCTTGTACGTCCACAAGTGTGTAGGCTGTTATGGCTGAGATGCAGGGAGAAAGCCTTCCCTGTGCTTCACTTCAGAGCAGAGGGTGGTAAAAACATCATATGGTCTCAGACAGAGAAAATAAAGCCTCCTACCTTTTTAAAAATTCCATATACTCCGTATGCTTGATGAGTCCTGTCCTCATCATTATTGTTTGAAAACATTGTCGATCAATAGCCCAGAGCTTCACATTTACAAGAGCTGGAGAAACAGAAAACAAACAGGCAACAATTAATTACAGAATTTTAACTAAGAATTATAGCCTGCAAAAGAGATGTTATTCATGAGAAGTACGGAGATGACTCACCTTCATTGACAGCTGATATCATAATGTCCTATTTTAAGAAGTATTCTTATGAGCAAAATGTAGTTCAAACTAGTATTACTGTCTGATAGGAAGTTTCCATTGCTCTTATGTCCGTAAGGAATGAAAATGCCTAAGTACACACTAAAAGAATTAAGTAATTGCACAACTATATATGAAGGAAATCTCATGGAGAGAAAGCAAGGTTTACAAGTAATAACACTCCCTGCTAATTACCCAGAATGGTGTTAATGACTCATCTGAGCATATTTTAATTATGAAAAGTAGATGTAAAAATTCAATTTTCAGGTTAAGGGGCAAATTTAATATAATACAATTAATAGTTATATAACGATTTTCTATGCAAAGCTCATTTTATAAATTATAACCTGTGCCTACAGTTACCACATACAATTACATTACATATGTTTGTTGAATTTTAATTTTTACTCTTACATACCACTGTCTTTGACAATGAATAAGTGTTGAAACTGAATACTGCAACATTTCACCATTTGATCTATTAAGTACATGGCTAAGAGACATTTCTTAGAAAAAGACAGATGTTTCAGTGTAACAGAACAATATATCAAGATAAACTTAGGTTTTAAAAGAAGATACATTACAATCTTGATCATTGAATCTGTGATGGGTATATTCGAGGCTTATTTAACTATTTTCTCTATTTTTATGTATGTTTGCGCATTTTCATAACAGAAAATGTTTTAAGTCACCACATGAACTGAAGAAAGCCAATTTATGCATCACACTAGGGGTTCGAGCATGGCCACTGAATGGAGCCAGGATAGAGTTTAATGAGCTAAACACAGAAAGATAAGAAAATGTTTTTCATCTTCCTAGTTCTCAGACGAAGCCCTATGAATGCTACGGGTCAAGATTTGTGGTAAGGGATGGAGAATGTGTTCGAATAATTAGGCCATGGGTATGCCTTGCAGAGAGGAGCTAGAAGTAACTAATACACTGGCTATCATGAGGAAAAAGATGATAAAGGAAATACTGTACTCTAGAGTAAACCCCTATCTTGGAATTTTACTGCAAATTCCCTTGCAAATTGTTTAAAGCTAGAAACAACACGCCTTGCCTCTTGGCCGGCTCTTCATTGGAGAGAGAAGGCGCACGGTTAAGCAGAAAAAGAACGCAGCCTCAAGGACCAGTGTGTATGTGGCTCCATTGCAAATAACCTTTAAAAATGCACCTTCAAAAACAAAGCTCATCTCACAAGCCTTCTCCAGCCACATTCTAGTCCCTCTGCTCAACCCAGGCTCCTTTCCAGAACACCTGCTTCCTTAGGCCAAACCAGAAGCCTGGGTGTTGTAGCCACAAAGGACGGCACAAATCAGGAGAAGATGCCTGAGAAGTAGGACCTTACAGAATGATAGGACTTGAGCTAGGAGATGAACAGGAGGTGACTGGGCAGGAAAGTGCCTCAGCAAGAGCTCAGCTGGGACTGAGCTTGGGCAGGGGGAGAACAGACTGAAAAGGCTGCAAATGCCTACAGGGTGGCTGCATAATCTGATAGGAGGCTGATAGAAGGCCCTGGGAGCCAGCCACATGGAAGCAAGGATTCATTTGATGAACAACTGAAAGCTATCAGAGATCTTAAAAAAGACAAAACAAAGCAAAAAAAAAACAAAAAACAAAAAAAACACCTAAATTTCCAAAGGCTACACCATGGGTATATCAAAAAATTTTAAATGCTTATAAGAACAAAACAACCAAAATTTTCTGTCTTCATCATCCTTCTTCATGGCTTCTAGGTATTTCCAGTTTAGAAATGCTGCCCTCCACAGGAAAAATACACTAACCAATATTGTTATTTTAAAAATAGTGGCTATAAAAATAGTTGTTACTCTATAGATTTTTAAAATGCACTTAAGTAAATCATACGTACATTTTAAGATTTTGTCCTGCAGAAAGACTCCAGAATGCATACCCCTAGCAGCACTGTGTATATAAAGTTTCTATTACTGGTTCCCAAACCAACAGATCTGATCCCAGGGAGAGCTGGCGTAGACTAAGCTGGGAGGGGCGACCGGGACTCGGAGACATCCGAGTGGAGCAGAACCCAGACCGACACTGGGGCTACCAAATAACCGTGTAAAAACCACAGGACAGCCCAGCTGGTGTGGCTCAGCGGTTGAGCGTCGACCCATGCACCAAGGGGTTGCCGATTCGACTCCCGGTCAAGGCACATGCCCAGGTTGTGGGCCAAACCCCAGTGGGGGGCATGCAGGAGGCAGCCAATCGATGCTCTCTCTTATCGATGTTTCTTTCTCTCACTCCCTCTCCATTGCTCTCTCTCTAAAAATCAATAAAGAAAAAAAGGCAGAGTATGAAGAAAGCTGTGTGAGAAAATGTGTTCTGCTAACAGGTGTGGACACGATTTCAAACAAAGAGCAGTGTGCACCAGGCAGAGGCCACAGTAACTCAGGAGTCGCGTGGGGGTCTTAGTGGAAAAGCCGCAATGAGTGTGTGTGCAAAGGCTCTGCACTGTGTGTGGTGTGACTAAGTTGTCTGTAGCATGTTAAGGCAGAGTTCATGCTTCAAGGCCAGTCTCCATCCCTGGTTCCTAGAGACTACCCCTGATTTTTCTGTCACTCACTGGCGCTCAGCGTCTTACTGATATTGCTCATGATCTCTGCTATGCTTATATCAGGTTTCCTCAGATAATTTTGTACATTCCCTCACACAAAACTGTCTCATTTTTTATAACACCCCTTCACCTCAAGAAATTAACTGTTCATTTGATAGGCATTGGCTATATTTGTTGATTACTGTAATTTATGTACATGATGCAAATTTTTTTAAATGTAAGTCTTGGTGGATTCTAACGTTACATTAAAAAGTCTAAGCAGAATTGATTAGATGTCCTAATCCATGTATTGGAAAGCAAACTGTTTTATCTTCTGATTCCCTTTCACACTGGCTACTAAAATATCTCTAAGTGAAACAGTGTTTGAGATATTTTGTGTAACAATGAACATGGCTTGATGAGATTGCAAATTTGTCCATGACCTTGGACAAGATGCCAAAACCCTTTTTATATTCAGCCAATATACCTATTAGTCAAGTCAGCATTTTATGGTGGTCAAGCATGACTAATAATCACCTTGTCTTGTTATCAAAAGTGTGGTTGTCTTCAAGTTGTGACTAACATCTTGCTTCCTAAACAGCCTGAGGGAGACCATTAAAAAAAATAAAAATGAAAGTCTCTCCATTTACCTTTGATCGTAAGTGGTGCATTAATCTCTGTAGGGAATAAGCACTTGATACATAAAATTTCTGTGGTTTTTACCACGTTTATTGTTGTTGAACATCTGAGTCTGAAGGGCATAGAGCAGAGAAAGTGTTGGGAAGGAATTTTCCTTTTTGTTCTAGTATGTATCTAAAATTCTCTGCTGAAATATTTACATTGTTTTCAGTTGAAGGCCACATGGAAGTCAGTAGAAAATATGTAAATACCCATTACCCTACCATCTCTAAGTGATGTGTGAGGGTGTGAAGAACACCTTCAACCTAGGCAACAGTCAGCCTTCATTTAGGCAACACCAGGATTATAGGGGAAGACATCACAAAACTGTGCTAGACTAGGAAACCACAAATCTGAGGTTGGCCTAAATTCTCCTACTGGGGAATTTATGTGCTGTCTAGTTCAAGTTTTGGAAGTACATCAAGAAAGCATATGTGGATATAAAGCACTTATAGACTAGAATATTAACTTAGCCCATCTTTATTTTATAGCAGTCAAGCCAACACCGGTGTTATACAGAAGGGAGCGAAAACAAATGTACAGTTCCTGCCCTTGAGCTACTGAAGATACAGCACAGAGCCCCACAAAGCGTTGTCCCTGCCAAATCTGGCCAGTGATTGGTTTTGTACAGCCCACAAAAAAGGGGTTTGTGTTTTTAAGTGGTTGTGAATTTAAAAAGAGAAAGAGCCTTGGCTGGTTTGGCTCAGTGGTTAGAGCGTCAGCCTGCGGACCAAAGAGTCCCGGGTTCAGGTCCCACTAAAGGCACGTACCTGGGTTGCAGTTTGTCCCTGGCTCTGATTGGGGTCGTGTGGGTGGCAACCAGTTGATGTGTCTCTCTCACATCAATGTTTCTCTCTCTCTCTCTTCCTCCCCCTGTCCCTCCCTCTCTATCTGAAGATAGATTCAAAAATGTCCTTGGGTGAGGATAAACAAATAAATAAGAAAAAGAGATTTCGTGACACATGAAAATTATATGAAACACATTTCACTGTCCATAAAAGTTGTATGGGAACACAAACATGTCCATTCATTTACACACTGTCTCCAGCTGAATGCAGTGGTTCTGACAGAGACCATTTGCACCACACTCCCTGGCCCTTTAAGAAAGCAATCGCCAGCTAGCGATATGGTATACCAGATAGATAAATCAAGCGTATGTGCTAGCAGTGGGTCAACATCCCTGGCTGTGAATACAGCCTCACAGACTCCCCTGGGAGAGGAGCCGAGAAGAGCTGAGAGGGCTTTGCAGGGGAGCACCACCTGAGCCAGGGTCCTCGCCTGGCACTGCAGACCAAATGCTTGTCTTCTCCAAACTCAAAGGTGAGAGCCCGAACCCCCATTGGCACAGTATACGGAGGTGGGGCCTTTGGGAGGTGAACAGGCTCTGGTACCCATTCCAGTGTGGGAAGACGGGGCTCCCCACATCAATAAGCAATTTTCAGGATACCTGCTGGGTGTCCTGCAAGTCAACTCAATTCTGACAGAAGCCCCAGAAATAGGATCAGAAGCCACAGGTGCGGGGTTCCGGCCCATAGCACTGCCCCCACCACTACTACTTCAGACGGATCAGCTGAAAGCCCAGGTGGTTCCGGTTCTTCCGACAGAGGGGCGATAAGTCACAGGTTC